CTGAGGGTGCCAATACCGAGGCTTCAGTTAATGCCCGTTTCAAGTTTTGAAATGCTCATTGTGCCTCTTCATTCCAATAAAAGTCACCTTTCCGTAGAAGTTTAGTTAAAGGACTGGGCAGATGAGGATACTTATAGATAAATTGCTTGTAGTAGGTAGTGAGTCCTAGAAAGCCACGAAGTTAAGCGATGTTTTGTGGTATTGGCCATTATTGGACAACATGAACCTTGGAAGGATCCATATTCCATAGAGACTCCTGAAGCTAAGACAAGATATTCTAGGTAATTGATTTGTGTTTGACCAAAGGCACACTTGGTCATTTTGGCAAATAGTCGTGGGTTATTAGTCGCTCCAATGCTTTTTTGACATGCTGAAGATGTTAAGTCCAAGAGGAATTTTAAATCAATAAATCATAAAAAAAAAATATAAAAGCAGAATTCATTAAAGCTTAGAATGGTGCTAGCACATTCGTAAGTCCGAATGGCATGACAAGCCACTCATATAGGCCCTGATGTGTTCTAAACGCTATCTTCTCCTGGTCAGCCGGATGCATTCTTACTTAATGGCAACCGGCTTGTAAAACAAGCTTAGTATAGTACACATAACCCCCAATTCTTGAGAACGAGTCTTTAACAGTGACACTGTTTAGAGCCCGAGAGTCGGCATACATATGCCAAGGCCCATCCTCCTTTTTAATGAGTAATACTGGATATGAGAAAGGACTAACCCTTGGTGGTACAAATCCATCTCACAACAACTCTTCCACCATTTTCTCAATCTCTGACTTTTGACTACAAGGATAGAGATATGAATGAAACGTGACAGGACCCGTACCTGGTTGCAACACTATTTCGTGGTCACAGTCCCGATTTGGGGGCATCTCATGGGGTTTCGAAGACCGCAGCAAATTTCTGTAAAAAAGCTCGCATGTCGGCATCCACGGAGTTTTCCAGTATGGCGTCATTACTATCATTCGCCTGTATTAGCTGCATTAAAAACATTTCACGTAAAGCTTTGGTATCCTGGATCCGTTGCAGCAGATGAAATTAGGCTAGAATACACTGGGCCTCCTTATGACCAACCAAGTTAATAAACTGCCCTTGATCCATAAAATTAATTGTAGCACTGCTGTAAACTGCCACGTAAGGGCCCAAGGTAGCTAACCAATCTGATCCAATTACTATATCAAAGCTCACAATATCCAAAAACGAACGCAGCAATGATTATGACATGGCCATCAATTTGAATAGGTAGCATGAGCACCAAGCCCATACCCTTCATCAACTATCCATTCCCCGCCAACACTCGCATGGGCTTAGTTGACTTGACAGATAATTTGAGGTGGGCTATTATTCTTGGGTGAACGTAACAATCCGAACTACCACCGTCAAGAAGGACCAGTATTGTCATAACTTCCACCATTTCGGAGAATCGAGTAGTTGTCTTAACAGCTATGCCAATTTATGCCTGAAGTGACATGTGATGGAAAAGTCGCTGTATTCTCATATTTCAGTTTATCCTCCACTGGTAATGGCGGTGGTTGTGGTTCTTCCTCCCCTTCCTCATTCTGAAGCAGCAAAAACTGACGGTTAGAACATTTATGACTCAACGAAAACTTCTCGTCACACGTATAGCATAAACCCTTTCTCTCGTTGGATTTGCATTTCCTCTAGCAAAAATCTTGCAAACTGGAGTCAAAGGTTTGATTGAAGGCGTAGGTAACAATGGTACTGAGGATGCTTCGCGGGAGGGTGGTAAAGTACTCATGCTTGCCAGAATATCTGTTTAATGGCTTAACAGCCAATAGAGTTGTTCCTCCGATTCCTCCATTGCTCCGATTCTTCCAACCAAGGGAACTGAATTTTTCATTAAAGAGTCGAGCAAAACTCACAGCCTTCAACAAATTCTCAGGTGATCGAGACACCGCCTCTCTGAGTAGATCGGGTTTGAGGCTCGCATTGAAGCAATCCAGCAGCACCTCTTCCGTCACTCCTTCCGTCTGATTTGCCAATACCATGAACTGCTGATGGTATGAATCCAGAGAATCCATCTGAGTTAACTTGAATAATTGTGCCCGCGAGTGTTTAAACTGAGTCGGGCCAAAATGAGCTTCGATTTCTTGGGTCAAGCTTTCATAGATGGTAACCAGATTTGACTTTAGCATCATTTGAAACCGTGAAATTGCCATCCCATCCATGTGGATTGAAGCAAGGTATTGCTCTGCTCTAAAAATCCACCCATGGGGGTCAGTACCATCAAATCTAGGAAAGTTGATCCTTACCTGGCGAGGTGTATTGAAGTTGGAAGGTCCACTACTACTTTCTTAGAATGCAGATTGGATAATTCAGAGTTGTTTTTTGTCTTGGCGTAGATTCAAAGATTCGGACCAGAGAATCCATCCTCACCTCCAGCTTCTCAAAGCGTCGGTTAGGAGCTCGTACCAGAGCCTCTATGGCATTTTCAAGTTTGTCTAGTTTCGGATTTGGAGCACGAAGAAGATCTCCCAATGCCCTCTCCAGACGTTCCATCTAAGCATTGCTAGCATACTCTATCCGCTCGGTGAACTCCCTGATGCTTTGCAAGTCTCTTTGCACAGTTCTCATGTCGTTCGTTAGTTCATTCATGAATGTTTTCATCCATCTCGAGCTCCAGCTTTTCTCTCGGCGAAAGCACCTTTATCACGGTCAAAAATTCAACACAAGCACCGAAAGCACAATTGGAGATCAAACTCCCGTATTATTCAATCAACTCTTCAGAAGGACAAGTTCAAGAAGAGTTACAGAAGGGAAGTGCAGAAAGAAACAGAGGAGAATTACAGGGGAGGGGGAGAGAGAGAGAGAGAGAGAGAGAGAGAGTAACAGAAAGGCAGTCCAAATCACAAAAATGTCATGTCATTCCAATCATTGCACTCAACTTTATTTCTCGCTCACTCCTTTCGTGTCTCCCATAACTTCCACGTGAGTCGTCAAATACGGTTGCTCTTCCGCAACGCTATCGGTCCCTTATTGTCATTTGGCACCTCCACGTCATCAATGGGGCGTGTATTGGGATCACAATCATTAGCTGAATCTGCACTCGTGATATGCTGCTTTTTAGCTTTCCGTTGCCTTGTGTTGCTTTTGACAGTGTCAACTCAAGTGAAATCATCTTAGTACTTAGAGATGCAGCTCTTTCTTAACCATGGCTTCACATATTTAAGCTTTGGTTCTCAAAATCCTACGGGAGAATCTTTAATGGTTCGATACTTTGTTATCGTTTCATTTACATACGTATTGTTCCAAAAATTGTCCTTAATGAGCTGCTTTGGAAGCTGGTTCCAACTTGATTTCATACGAGTACTTCTGATCTTCAACTGCATGCACCGATGATGATTCACTTGGCCTTTTTGTGTCCTATGTTTCTGTTTGTACCCATTCCATCAACTCCGTGCATTTTTGTTCCTCTTTGTTTATCGTATGTCTTTGTGTTATGTCTAGTCTGGGCTTTTGGGAATTTTTTCTTTGGACCGGTTTGTCTGTGACTGCAATCGGTTATTGTGCTTTTTTTTTAAATGATATTTGACTTTATTTATAAAAAAAAAAAAGTTTGAATGTAAATTTAATAATAAGGGATGAATATCATCTAAGGATCCTTGTGGCATTTTAATAGCAAAGTAAGACCCTAAAAATTTGAGATATCACTATACCCCCAAGACCTATCTGAAAATAAGATTTTGGAGAAAAATATTTAATACCCCCATAATATTTTACAAATTTTGCTTCGCTATGAATAACAAAGCATTCCGCTATCAATAATTCACCATACATGATTAACAAGCGGATATTTGTTCATGAATAAGTTACAAAACTGATAGGCCTAGTTTACTCCAATATGAATAACAAAATATTCAATTATTGACAAGTTGTCATATATAATTAACAAAAGGACATTAGTTCATGAACAAGGTATAAAAATTGATAGGCATGGTTTAATATTACCACTCTTTCTTTGGTATAAATAATAAAGTTTTCAATTATTGATAAATTATTATTCAACTATAGACAATAAACAAAGCCTATAGTTTTTGTAATTTATTCATAAATAAATGTTCACTTGCTAATCATGCATGATAACTTGTCAATAACTAATTGCTTTATTGTTTGTACGGGAACAATATTTGAAAAACGCTATAAGGGTAATTAGATTTTTTTTTTAATCTCATTTTTCACATATGTCCCAGGGGTGCAATAATATTTTAAATTGCTAAAGATCCTTCCTTGATATTAAAACGCTACATAAAGGAATGGACCGAAGCAATGCAGCGTCCTCATATCCTCACATGCATGCATGCAAGCCTTGTGCCCACTGCTCCAAAGCCCATACATCCAGTCAAAGCTATTCGCCATGATAGTTATGCTACAATGCTCTGTCGTGATATTTGTAGATATAAACAGATATTTTGTTGATATGAAATCTTAATGCTTCACGCCCAAAAAAGAAATCTCAATACAATGTTGTATATATGTAACCCTCCATCAGTGAATGAATTAAGCCTTTTAGCTCCCAATTTCTTTACTACAGGCGTCCTTAGATCATATTTTCTCTAATAATAATGAAAGTATGGTTTTAGTTTTTTTTAATGTTTTTTTTTTGGCGTTTAATTCCCGCAGCTTAGCCAGGGCTCCCCACCCCCAACCCACCTTCCTTTTTACAGGAATTAACTTGAATTCAAAGGGAAAATTCATATGATTTCTTATCAAGTTCTCATCTCCAACATTAGTGTACATCTTTACCATCTAGCGTCATATATCCGGACGTTTTTTAAGAAAATAAGATCTCCAATGGTACCTGCATGAAGCACAAGCTGCAATTGCCCCCTTTAAGTTGAGTTCGTGCTTTTCACCCCAAAAAGAAGGGCGATTGTTGAGAAATATGAAATGAGATTCTTTCAAACAATCACTTTCATAAGAGATCAATGCGGTTGATGCCTCAAACCCTAAGTAACTTACAGCACAATTAGAGACTCACAGAACTCTTGAATTTTCATTTAACTTCTCGCAAGAAACAAATGAATGTGCCCATGAAATAAAATCTATCAATAAATTGTAATCGATACATCTTAAGAGTAAAATTTAAATTAAAAAGCAGGGCAGCTACCACCTGGAGCAGAGATTGGATCAATACACTGGCTGGAAACAATTAAAGCACGGTTTAACAATTATCTTAATGGCATTTCTCTGATTCTGGACATGATAGGTTCTTATGCTGACGGCCTCTGACACGCAGCAAACAGCTGCCAACTTAAAATAGCCATAACCAAAGATGTAAAGAGTTCAAATCCTACAACCTTTGGTAAATGCCACCCCAAGCCTCGCCTCAGATAGCTGCACAAGGAAAAGTTTAGATAGCACTACTAAAGTTTTATTACTGCGAAAACACACTCTAGTAGATGACCCGTAAGAAGTGCAAATTCATGATCATGACTGAGTCTCAGACTAAAAGTTGTGACTTCCGGGTCACCAATCAACATATCCACGGTGTTCTATGATTGGTCATCGTAGCCCAATCGACTTTATATAACGGAGAAGAAAAGATGAATAGCATCAGTATTCCCCAGAAAAAACGAGCTCGAGGCTTATGTTCAATGAAATATCCCATGCTCAGTCTTTGATTTTTTTTTTTTTTTGGACAAGAGCTCAGTCTTTGATTTAAAAGTATGTAATTGGAGAGAACTAGTGTGCCCTACTAAAAATTAAAAATTCAGAATATTATGAAACAAAAACTCGTCAGTGAAACAGTGATGAGACAGGAAATACCTAGTGATGGATGGCATGGTAGCCACAATCCCTGCACACAAGTATATTATAGGAATTAGAGCCCTGGGTTTATTTTTTCGGAGCCACATCAAAGATCCTAGTGCCGCAAGAGATATGCTCAACACCTGCACATTACAAGAGCAGAAACTCTCTTTAGATAATTATGTACTACAAAACCGTGAACAAGGTAGGAAGCATGCTTACCAGTAGAACATGATCTACAGTTTCATCATTTGAACCAATACTGAATCACACAACCAATATAACCAAATATAAAATCTATATCATATTGAATTATTATTCATAAGCTACCAACAATGTAGTACGTTTAGTCTTCATCTTCCATGCAAAATGCACAGGGCCCCTGTCTAGCTTTCCAATATTAGTAAAGCACTTGTACTTCGAAAACATAGACAGACCTGTATCTGATACACGACAAGATATGATACAATACAAGTTCCATATTGGTGCCACGTATCCATCCATATTATTTTTTACCTGTCCATACCATCCAAATTTTGATAGCAAAATAGAACTTTGTGTGTGTGTGTGTGTGTGTGTTTTAAGGTAAAATAGAAAAAAGATCTAATAATTATTCACAACAATATGATATTTTTGCATTAATTTTTTGGTTCAGTAATGTTTTTGTATTAAGAAGAAAGAACAAAGATTTTATTTGTAATTTGTTATAAACATTTTATCCATGCATGAGATCTGATACTAACATTTACATTATAATTTTTTGAATATCTGAGGCTTCAAAGTTGCATGATAATACTTACCAAAGTCTTTGATTTAAGGAAATACACAACCATAGGTCCCTACAGTTTTATCAGATTTTGCTCTTAGTTTTGATAATTTTTTTTCAATGTTTTCAAACTTTATAGGGGCTAAAAACATTGAAAAAACTGAAACTATAGGAATCTAAAAAACAAATGTCTCCTAATATTTATGAAACTATAGGGACAGAAAACATTGAAAAAAAAAAACTATAGGGACTAAAAGTAAAACCCGATGAAACTATAGGGATTGATGCTTATGCTTTCCCATGATTTAAATTAAGCACTGCCTGCTTGGCAGCCAGCTGCTAGAACATATGCACTTGAACTCAAATTTTCAAAAAAAGACAAAAAACAATGAATATACCAGATTTGCATTAGCCTCTAGGCCTTGGAGAATGTAATCCCAAGTAAACTCTAGTCCTCTTGCACCCACCCAAAGGGGAGCCAATCTATGCAGTACGGAATCAGCAAACGCCCATCCTGCCACAAGGAAATGGTCAAAAGAGGTGAATTTGAGAGATATAAGAATCAGAGCATAACTTCCTCAGGAGATGAATAAAAAACATATTTTTCATACATAATGCTATGCCCTGTCACACTCACCAAGGCCGACTGCTTGGAATTTATGATTTTGAGATATGTTTCTATGAGTCAACTGGGTCAAGGCAAAATAAAGCCCAGCAACATCTATAAAGCCTATTAATGCCTTCAGACATTCCTGGGAGAAAAAATAAGCCATTGATTATCGCTCATTAATCATTATAAAGGTGTTAGAGGTGCACAATAACTTCAAAAGCTAAAAACAGTGATTCTAAATAACCCGAAAAAAAGAAATTGAATATAAAAATCAATCTTTATGTCCCTGCTTGGAAAAGGGGGTGAAATTATTGAGTTATCATTATAGTAAAATGATAGACATTGCAGAAGGCAGAAGGAACTCCTCCTAGGATACCAATTGAAGCCTTAGAGAATATCAAACGACTTTAGATAATAGCCACATAGCCATTGATTGCTTAAAGAAGTTATCAAACAGGATCTTCCGATGAGTAGTATATCTAAAGAGTGGCCTGTTGATAGAGCACGTTGGCATAGCGTGATCCATGCAGTGGGATAAAGCTTATTGTTGTTGTATGTCATACACTACCCATACTCAAGTCTTTTGATAATAAATTCTAGTTTTACAAGTACTGAAAAACTTTGTTTTGCACCAGATTTCCTCCCTTTCTTTTTATAACTAAATAGGCATGCAGTTGTATCCAGTATGTACTTGTAGAAGTAAATAAATAGCACAGCTTTACGACATATTGAAGACAGAATGTGAGTCTTGCACTAGCACAACGGAGAGGGATAGTCTGTTGGTGAAGGGAGGGTGAGCTAGAGAAAAATGAAAGAAAGTATAACAAGTCAGAGACAACGAAGTGATGGATAAAAGTATGTTATTTGTCCAAGTAAATTATATTCACATTGGCACCCGTGGGATTAAGGGGACTGTCTTCTGATGATTCGAAGAACAATTGTAAGCTAAGCAGTAGTTTAAAATAAAATCCGCCCTGCTAAATATTGTTTCTTGACGAGCCCAAAACTTTACATTAACACCCCATGAAGGGGAGCCTTGCAGTTATTGGTAATAGATTCCAGCTTTTAGACGATTGGTAACATCCTTGTAGTGAATCCAAGGTCTTCAATTAATTAGATACTAAAATCAAACTTCCAATGAATTTTCCAAAACAACATCTAGCTACCCTACGTAAAAGCACAGATGCCCAAATGCATACATAAATAGATAACACAACGTAGAAACGTACCTGATAAGGATCAAAGCTATCACTCTCAGATACTTTGAGAAAAGTTGCGAGACAAACAAGCTGCCAACATAGGAAAAACAAAAGAAAAGAGACAGATCATCAACTTACTTTGAGCAAATATTAGTTTGATACAAATAATAGAAAATTCAGTACGTTCCCCAACCTTAACTAATGCTGTCGCGAGATAAACAACAGCTGCTTTGATAGAAGTACCAAGTGTGTCATACTCAGATCTGCACATGCAAGATTATAAATGACCAAGCAAATAAAGCACAAGAACTATTTTTTCTATTGTGCGCCAAAAAGAAGAAAGTAAATGATTCTGAGATGCTTCAACTCAAGAACGTGTAATTAATTTCATGCTATTGATTATACCAATGAGGTCTCGGTCACATAGTAGGAGCAACTTTTCAAGACTATATTTAATATTGGAAAGCAATGATACAGTAAATTTCAATATGGTTTTCATCGGAACTAGGCCGCCCAACTTCCAGTTTGAGTTAGAAAAAGGGGGAACCTTCAGAGACTAAGCAACAAACTGACTGGAAAATGAACAACCTTTAGAGAATAGGGATTCACTACAGGGAGTGATATGTAGGAATTTTCATCGTATGGGAAAAAAAATTAAACGCGGAGATTACAAATAAAACGAAACCACGAGAAATAAAAGCATAAAACGAGATACGGGATTGAAAGCAAAAGGGAAGGAAGGAAGTAAGGGAGATAGATCTGTTAGGAAGAGGCTTACAAGGGAGTAGCAGAATAGTAAACGACGTGGGGGCCGAAGGTAAGGATCGCGCAGTTGAAAAAATGAAACAAGGTCATTCTTCTCCGCTGCCGATCAACGCCTGTAGAACAGCGGCTAGACACAGGTCCACTTGAAGCACGGCGAGGAAGCCTCGCTTCACCTTGTGATCTCAATCTAGACTAGACTAGGCCACTGTGACCGATGACGTGGTAATTGATTTCGCTTCAAACTAATTATAATTATAATTGTAAATACAAATAGTTTTAAAATAAGAAGAAGTTTACGTTGATAACGAATGGATTGATTATTGATTAATTAATACAACAAAATATCCTGCTAACAATGCCTTAAACAAGGAAGTGGCTTTTTTGGGCCAGTCTTAAAACACAGGCCACGGGCCACGGGCTTCTATCTCAGACCTTCTTTTTTTTTTTTTGAGAATTAGGTTGGGACTTGGGTTTCAAAAACAAATATGAAGACGGTTGAATTTATTGTGTGAAAAATTGAGATTGAACATGAATTAAAAAATAATGATAATTACTAGATACATTGCATATATACAAAAAAAAAATTCTGGTAAAGCTTCTGAAACTTAATTTATCTAAATTCTTTTGAATAAAAAAAAAAGATAACTAGATACAATCATGAATGTGATAATAAGTGGGCACAGATAGCTCATATTATAAGATCAAGTAAAGAAAATAGTCTATCATTTTTTAAATTTTAAAAATAATCTTTTTAATATTTATATTATAATTAATTTATAAAACTATCCTTTTTAATATATGTTTTTTTTCAAATACTAAGAGATTCAAAATGTAAGAAATCTCTAGAACGAGAGAGACAAATGTAAAAGAGAAGGCGGAAATTGATGTGAGAGAAATGAACGTGAGATAGCAAAGCAGTATAAGTGAGCCACAATCACGATGGTGAGAGATGAATGTGAGGTGAGATACATCGATGGTATTCAACGGAACAAAGCATGCCAATAGGGAAACGAAGCTACAGATTCATAATTTTTTTTATTTTATTAGTTTAAGTATTTGATTTTTTTGTGATAAGCTAAATGTCCAAAACTTTTTGTGGATTATGTTTGATCTATTTTAGGCAAATGATTATGTGTTTTTTGTATTACTGATCTGCGATACTACATTATTAATATACTACTATATATCAATTGTAAATAAATTTATATTTGATTGTCTAGTTATATTAATCTACGATAGTATATCATTGACATACTATTGTATATTACTTATATATAAGCCATATCAATGAAAACTTACTAATTTATTTATCATTGATATATAGCTATATATTAATAATGTAGTATTGTAGATCAATAATAGAATTTTTTTTTAATGTCTAATGTCCTCTTTGTAATATCTGGCCAAAATAGAGAGGGAAAGAGAGGAAAAGCACTACGATGAAGATGGTTATCCAGGCAAATTAGATCAAAAATTTTGACAAAGAAAAGCACTGCACTAAAGATGAATATGATGATTTAGAAAAATCAAATCAAAAAATTTGATGAAGAACATATTCAAAGATGATAAATTAGAGAGGGAGCACGCACAATATATTTTTTATGATAAAAAAGAAAGGTCAAGTCAATTAAATATTAGTTAAATAAGATATATTTTGTTTTAATAATAAATTTATTCTAAGGATAAAAAAAATACATCTAATTAATTTTATGAATGAGCCATATTTCAAAATATTCAAAAATATAATCTATAGTTTATGGGAGTTATATTTTTTGAGCCTGTTAAGCTAATTTTCTCTAATAATTGTATGCAAAAAATTATAGCAATAACAATGTCAATTTCCAAAATTCTTGTGATAATAATTTTGTATAAAATTTACAATTTGAACAAGTCGAGCTTATTTCAATAGATACGAACAAACTCATGAAAAATTTTAAATAATCAAGCTTGATGTGAATCTTGTTTAGATTTGGGAGCTAGTGAGAGGAATTATTATGAATTGAAGAAGCTAAGGATATATGCTTAAAGGTTTGAATGTGATTCTAATAGCTTAATCTTAGTTTCTTGGACCTGAGGCAAGTGATGTCGTGAAGTATAGTGGCTAGAGGTTGAAATTTGATTAAACCCTAACGAAATTTTAGGATTTTGAAATTGTGTGAGCTAGTTAAGCATGTGATTTAGTTAAGAGGGGGTTAGAGGAGTTTGAATGAGTTAGTTGTAGTTTTGATTAGCTCAACTATAAAAGTTATAGGTTGTGGATGTTTAAATTTGGTTAACAAATACTTATTTAAGCTAATAAACTAACATGTAGTGTTTTATATTATAGATTTTGGTAGTTGGAACTTCCTTGAGAGTAAGGAAGCAATAAGAGCTTATGTTGGCTAAGAGTAACCGTTTTTGTATCAAAAGGATTGAGGTAATCTGATATTTTATGTTATTTAGTAGCTAGTAAAGTTGTTTGCAAGTAGATGACATATGCATATTAAATAATTCATATGTATGTGTATATGTTTTACAAAATTGGAAAGTTTTTGGAAAAGAGTAGAGTTGCATTATAAATTGTGAATTATGTAGGAGTTATAAACATTTGTTATATATGTGATTTTCAAAAGCATATCATGACATGTTTTCAATAAAATATGTGGTGAAATAATACTGGTTGATAAATATGGGACGATTGATACTTATCTAAACATGTGATGAAATTATATGGTTATGTGGTGACTTTATATACATGATCTAGTGATGATATCATAATGCATAAGTAGTGAAAATGATAATATAAGTGGAAGTTCACCTTAGGAGGAGAAATATGGTGATAAATCCACATGGTTCTAACTGCTCAATTGACGTGTGAACAGTTATATTATGCCCTCCATATTCTTGAAGAGGTTTGGTGATCGAAGGATGCGTAGTGTTCCCTAAAGAGGTTTAGGAGGATCTATATATACGACATCCTAATTATGGTATTAGTAGAATTCATAGTCTAAAAGTGAGGGAGAGCGTTAGGCCATGTAATCCTCTATTAAAAGTGGGCAGATAAGTCAGGATACATTAGTCCAATGGTAAAACCTATGAATTTAATTGAAAGTAGCGAATGTTCATATGGAAATCATGATTATGCATTTTATAGTGATGTTATGACTCATTGCTTGTACATGTGGTTAAATATCTGTTAAAGTTACTTGTTTATAGCTTTGCATGTTCATAAGTAATATAAATTATTCTTGTTACTTATATTTTTATCTCACCCGTGGTTACTTTTTATAGGATTAGAGATGGAGAGAAGATAAGACAAAGAGCCAAGAAAAGAGTAGCTGATCTACTGTTAGTAATGCTCTTATTTTGAGTTCTGTGTACATGAATGTCTATGTAATTATATAGTTGCTAATTAAAAATTTCATATGTTTTGCATGGTGTTTATATGAGTTGTGTAATTGATATTTTAGCCCAAGAATATAGGTTTTAGGATACATGTGTAACGGCCAAAGTATTAGTACAAGCACTAAGTTGGTATAATACACATATGGTTAAATTGCAATTGTATTGTATATTGTGGTGTTTTAGCCTATTGTGTAAGTTTGGAGAAATATTATGGAAATAGATTAAAATAGGAAAACAAGTATATGTTATGGTGTGATGGGTCACACCCTAAAAATAGAGGGTGACCGGTAAAGGATGTGATCCAGAACGCATCCTTTAAGCCTCGGATTGGGTAATCGTAACTAAAAGATAATTATGTTTTAGTTTGGGTTAGAACATACATAAATATTTTTGGTAGTAATAAAAGTCTCATTATTTTTGTAAAAATTTTGGCAGAATCTCCTCTATAAATAAGATCCCCCAAAAATTCTACAAGACAATATTTCAAATAAAAATATCAAGCTAATCAGAAGTAGAGCTCCTTTCAGCCAACAGACAAAATCTATAACCACATAAACAATCTAACCACAGACTTTGTGGAGCACCTAACAATAAGTTTAGAAAATAAAATTTCATAATTAAAACTTTACGTCAAGAGAAAGTTTAATCCTTAGCTTCTTTACTTCTAATCAATTACAAACTCCTCAATGGTCAGTGGGTAGTTCAGCATCAGCTACACTATCTGAAACCAAAAATTTATTTTTCAATGAATAACGTCTCAATAGTAAATAATTAAACATGAATAAAAGGAAAATTAAAAATATAATTATCTCCATGAAGATTTAAATAAATTCAGAATAAAAGGATTCTATGTAACTTTTAATAACATCATAATTTATAAAAGTATCTCATCAAATGTCATTATCATTTAACTTTAATAAAGCAAATAATCACAATAAATAATCGTAAATATGTCATTAATCAAAACCAATAAAAATAGATCTATAAAAATTTAAAAACTCATAAGTATAGGGACTTATCAGAACAAATATCAAATGTGGACACACAGTCTACGAGGATAAATCACCAAATGTGACTTATGCCATAAAAACAAACGTGGACACACAGTTCATAACGGTAAGTAACCAGACGTAGTTGAAGCCATGAAATAGACGTGGACACATGGTCCACGAGGGTAACTAACCAAACGTAGTTAAAGCCACAAAACAGATGCAAGTACAAGACCTACAAATAACAGACGTGAGAACAAAGGCTCACGAAATTTAAACTAGCTAGTAATTGACCATGGTGCGTTAAGAGCCAACGAAACTGCCGTTAGCAATCAGTGTTCTGTCTAAAATCCCTTTAAAAAACAATTTTTAAACATGCAAGAAAATAATCATTATCGAATTAAAATTTCTTCTCCTTTATATCAGACTCACATGAATTATGTAAATACCCGCTCTTTTCAATGTAAAAACTTACAAACTCTTTCATGAATTTTTATGATTGTCCTTGTCGAATAAAGGATTACTAGAACGTGTAAAAAAAACAATTGATCAATATTGTAAGCAAATAACATGACTTCGGAAAATAGAGTTATTCAATCAACAGAAATAATCGATGCTTATGAAATATATACATATACACACATATATAAATAAATAAAATTGTGAATTGTTGAAACCAATATCTTTGATGAAAAGAAACTTTGCTAATAAATTATTTGGGACGTTATCCACTCACCTGAAAATCTCAAAATGCAAAATTTTTCTCTAAGCTTTAATCACATTTTTCCTTTTTCAAACACCCTAAAAAAATCATGTTAAGAATTTAAATAAACT